CCCCCCCCCCCCCCCCCCCCCAGCTCCATCATCGCCCTGTTTAGCATCCGTCACAACCTCTCCGACCACAGCTCTAATCTGGGATTTAATCCGGAACAAAATGAGAACCGATTGAAATCTGAAACACACGGAGCCCCAAAGTTCTTCCACCGTGTTGTGTTTTCTGCTTTAAACAAGACGGCAACAGTCACAGATTTACAGCTCTTACGTCTCTCTCTTCACTGATGATGACTCACAGTTGATTGCAGACTTGATTCGGCTTTTTTTAGGGGCGACTGTTCAAAACTATAACAAGTGTTGAATTACCTCTGATGAGTGCGCTTCCAGATGCATCACCAAAGTGTTGATATTTATAGAATTTAACAAAAGAACACAAGCACATGGACTAATTATGCAATTAAGAGATTATCTTATGTAATAGGGAAGTACATAAAGTTTGGAACTTTATTTTGTGAGACTTTATACTTTTGTTCAACTACGAGAGGATTTCAACCCGGTCCCCTAAAAACAACGTTCCAATACGACGGAACCGCATCGAGAATTACGCTTCGAGGGAAACTGTTTTAGCCATTTTGTCGTTGATTACGTTTGTTTTTGACGAATCACAAAAGTTTCTAATGAGTCCACGACAGTCTGCAGAGGTGATTTGGGTTAAAGGTCAACTTAAAGGTAAACACAGTGTTTCTTGTAAAAATAAATGTGATGTAATCAAGCTCGGACGTCCTGTCAGTGTGTCAGATCCCCTCGGTGGTGTTTAGCACCGCATGGGCCCCGTTGCGGTGTCTGCGGGGCTGTGAGCTGGCCGAGGCCCCCCCCGCACACACACACACACAGGGGACCAGGAGGTCCTCTGGGAGCCCATTAACCCATTATGTTCACCTCCACAGCGGCGTTACGGAACAACAATCGCATACAAGCTGGAGGCGGAGCCACAGGAGGCTACAGCTGCTGAGAAAAGAGCCGGCGTAGCCCGGGGCGCCGAGCAGCGCCGCTCCCATGCTGTGCCTTGCTCAAGGGCCACACGGTAAGAAGTGAGGCGATAAGGTCAAGAGCGTAATAGGGCCCCCTGGATTTACACGTCATGTTCAAGTGAAAATGGGAAATTGTGTTTAATTACAGGTTGAGTGGATTCATTTAAAAAAAATATAGAAAAACATGTATGAATGTTACTGCTATCATTTCCACACATATAAGTAAAAGTGTCTTTTTATTTTAATGTAAATGTAGAAATATGTGCAAAGAAAGCAGGTTGATGCTTATTGCACTCTGTTATATTTTATTCATTATTCATCAAATTCAGCATCTGTGACCATTTTCTTTCGGTTATGCTCAAAGAAAGACAAAAAAGTGACTGAAGTATCTGAAATATCTGAAATCAGCTGAAATATGACCAAAAACATCCACAAAATCAGGTGAGATTGAGTTAATAGACGTTACTTATACAAACTACACTAATGTATTTGAGTTTGAACTTATTCTAACAGCTCTTCCATGAATGATAATCTGGGTCAAAGCAAAAAGACGATTTGTTCTGCAGCCTTTAATTAGACATTATTATGCAAGTCATTATACCAGCTCACTACAGAATAGATCTTAAGCAACAGAAATTAAAACAATTAACATTTCATCTGTATAATTATAGACACACACACACACACAGACACAAATCTCTATTTCTATATTTCCAGGGCCTCCAACATATTGCAGGTATGATGCCAAACAAGCTCATCTCCGGAAGATGTATTAGACAATAGAATAATTACCATAATCATGGATATTTTTCTCTGCATTTTAATTAGCCCTATGAAGCTCAATTAAGCTCTTCAGTAAGAGCGCCTATTCAGTAAACAGCTGTCCACCTGTCTGCTCCTTCCTGGGAAAAGGCTGCGGCGCCTGTTCACGCAGAGGTACCATCACCAAAATGAGTGTGTGTGTGTGAGTGTGTGTGTGTGGGGGGGGTCGGACAAGGCCCCTGCAGCCTGCAAGGGGCCCTTTGTATGAGGAGTGATTAATGCCACAGAGAGGCAGGCGAAGAGGACGGACATCATTAAGGTATGCTAATAGATGGCTTGAGTTAAGATATTAACAGACTGAAATAATGATGAGAAAAGACAAAAAGCTGCAGGTTTTAAAAGCAATAAAGACGTGATTTTAGGTTCTTACTTTTTGTGCTGAAGAAAGAGATTGTGAGACGACATGTTTATGTGACTGTGGAGGATACTCTTTACGAGACGAGGTTCCTGTTGGTTCCATGTTTCTTAACATCATCTCGCTCAGACTGAATCTTCTTAAGAACTCATGAGAAGTGTTTTTTTTTCCAGGTAAAATGAATCAAATTTTAGTTATTGATACTTCTTCCTCCTGTTCCTCCTCAGTGGCATTAATCACCTGTCATACCCGGGCCCTGAGGAGACCAGATTCTAACAAGGACACCTTCGCCCGTGTGATCCCTGACGGTGAAACCGTCTAAATGAGGCGGTGAGAGAAGATCCCCACCTGCGATCGGAGGCTTTAACCTCTTCCAAGGGGATCGCTGCGCAGTCATTAAGAAAGTAATAATGACCGGCCTTCATCATCACAAGCACAGGCTTGATCGCTCTCTCCTCTCTACTACATCTTAGAAGATGACTCACATTATAAAACGCTGAACAGTGACAGACTTCCAGAGGACAAAGAACAACAAGAATCGATCACTTATTTGTTTCTTTCTTTCTGTCAATATTGTGATTCATGACGATCACTGACTTCTCCTCTTTATTTATCGACCTCTTGTCGTATGACACAAATGAGACAAAACACAAAACGCACAACAATATATTTTGTCAAAAAACATGTTCCAATATTATTCCAATTCCCATGAAATTGTTTCAAACTGTGAATGCAGCTTTCAGCTAATCAGTTAAGCCAAAAATAAATTTAAACATCTGTTGACTTTCTGCTCCAACATACAATGAATAAAAAGGTACACGACTGAAGCAACCGTAATATCTCCACCTAATCACACAGTATAATAAAACAAATGAAGTCCCAACCCTAAAGTATTAGGAGATAAACACATTTAAAAAAACATCTGCATTGTTTTGCATGAAAATCCCGTATTTAAAATGAAGAAGAAAACATAATTGGTTTCCAGTAAAAAACTATTTGAAAAGGTTTTTGTTCATATTAAGAGAGTTGAATGGAGGCTCGTGGCTCTGAAGGAGTCTGTTTGTCTTTGGTTTTTTACCGGCTGCTGACGTTAGATTCTGTCTAATAGATTCAGGAGAAACAATTAGACGGCATCTTTCATCAAATAAGACACATCATTTCCCAAATGCACTCTTTCTCTCACAGGCCTGCAGCTCAGAGTGACACGACCCGAGGTCGCCCTCTAGCGGCCACAGCTGCCAATGACCTGCACGTTGTGCGGGGACATGTATTGTTATAAAATAAGGATGTTGGAGGGTTTTTTTTTTTTTACAACAGAATTCAAGTGCTGGGATGTAAAAACCTCAGTGTGTGTGTGTGTGTGTGTGTGTGTGTGTGTACATGTGTGTGTGTGTCTAACTGTTGAGCTTCTCAGTCTCCGCGGTGTTCACTGCGGTCAACTGTTCCTCGTGACCCTCCTCGTCTCCCGGCACCTGAGACACACACACACACACACACAGACACACACACACACACACACACACAGACACACACGCACACACAGAGACACACACACACACACACACACACACAGACAGAGCGTGAGATAATTGAGTTTCTACACTTCCGTGACCTCATCCTGCATTTCTTCCAGACTAAACGTGGTCTAATTGTGACTTTTCAAAGGTGCACTTCATTTTCCGTGTCTCTAAATGTCATCGTTCCCGCAGGTCTCTGTGAGGCGCTGCATGAATGTACACAAGCGTTTTGTCTTTTGTTCCCACTTTCAGATAATCATTGAAAAGAACAGCATCACTTATTATTTGTGGTTTATGAAAGAAATGGAGAGAAATCAATTAGATATATTTTTTAGAACTGGTGGTAAAAACGAGACAAAAACATTTCAATCGGTTGTGAAAATACGTTTTTAGTAAATTGAATTAATCTTTTATGTCTAAAAATGAGGTTCATCCCACATTACAGTGAAAGAACCAGTCCATGCAAGTATTTAAATTTAATTATTTTGCAACAAAATGCCTCTTTTTAGTAAAATAACCCAGATAAAAGAGGCACAAATCTAGTCTGCATGATATATATATACTCACACATAAAACTAAAGCATGACGATGCTGCACGTTGCATTGTGGGGGAAATTTAAATGACATCATCCAGGAGGGACTCCACCTGGTCTGAGACACCCGTGTGGTGGTGACTTTGCGCCCCCTGGTGGTCAGACAGCACCACTGCTTCACCAGCAGCACCACGGTCACTGATCATGTGAATGTCAGTGCGACGGCGCCACCTGGTGGCCGTTATCTCTCATGCTACACTCAATTACTGGAGAATTAACGCAAGCCGTTTCCTGGAAAGAATGATGTCATTTTATGCTGATCACGAAGAAAACAGGAATTTCCTGGAAAGACCTGCTCCATTTAAACCCAAATAAATATATATGTATCATTCATGTGTTATTAGAATGTTGAATCATTGACAGACAGTCACAAGAACGAGATGAGTGAATATGAAGTGTACTGCCTGAACACTGTCTCTTAGGGACACATGAGTGAGAAACAACAGAGCGTCTGACTCACCTCCCAGTAGATGCTGTCCTCGTAGCAGATGGTGTCGGACGGAGCGCCGAAGACGGGGAGCTTCAAGATGAAACCTGAGAGGAGGACAAAGAGCATTTATGTGCAACCACTTCTATCGTGAGAATGAGCTCAATGAGCTCCAACAAGACAAAACACAAAAGTTAATTGTCGAGTGAGTGGCTGGTGTTCATCATTAACCCAAACAGCATCTGCAGGTTAATCACACAATGAAGGGCGGTGAAGTCGTTCAGGTTCCTTCTGCTGGCGAGTCTTCACAGTAAAGTGCTGATTCATCGAGACGTCTCGGTTCATTAAACGCTACATTTGTTTGAAAGTGAAAGTTCTGGAGATGTTTGGAGGAAATATGTTTCTTCCAGAACACGTCTTCAAAAGAGAAAACTTGTAATACAATAATACTCCTCTTAATGTGAGTGATGAAGTGGTGAAGTTTCATGGTGATATCTGTTAGTTCATTTCTTTACTCTATTCACCTGTAGAGTCTGTAAACAAATCTTTAAAATGAGTTTGTTCTCAGACTCTGATGATAAATCTCCACTTCAGCAGCTCTTACATTCACCAAACTTCACTCGTTCATTCCTCTCTGTGTGCTGAAGGTTCACACATCACTCACACACACTCATTTATACTACATCATATTAATATAAACATGGAGAAATGGATTTGTTTTATGGCTGTTGACAGTATTTTCTGATTTATGAAGTGAAATAAAGAGAATTCATAAATCCCTTCTGTAGAAACCTTTAACTCTAACGTGTCAACAACATTTTGAACCTGGTTTTATCCAATGTTCAGATTTATGTTCTGGAAATGTATGAAAATGTGCACATATTTAATAAGATAATGCCTCATTTGCATATTTCAAAATAACATTTTCAGAAAACTTGTAATACAAAAGAATAATGATCTTATTGTCAGTAATCAACTGGGGAAGTTTGAAGATGATTTCTATTAGTTCTAAACTTTGAACCCAGCTGTAATCTCTTGTATTGATGCTGACTGTTGTTTAACTTTGTGTCGCTCAAACGTCCAGTTTAAGAGTTCTTCATCAGACCGACTGAGGAAGACGTGACACCTACCGACAAAGAGCCCCCCCCCCAGGGCGATGCCGAGGGTGACAGCGAGGGAGATGGCCTGACGGACGCCCTGGTAAGACGCTTCAATTTTTCCGCTTGCCACGTCGGGGAACACATCTCCCATCCTGAAACACAACAGCGACGAGTTATTAGTGAATGACTTAAACTAACAGAATTAAAATACGCTCGGACGTATCAATGTGTCGCTGCAGGTCCCTGCATGCTGACTTTGCACTAAAGGAGGACCATGAGAGCAGCCTGAAGGGAGCTCAGATCTGTCGGTGAATAAAGGGCTGCGGTTGAAACCACACACACAGATTATCTCCCACACAGGGAAACAATGTGGACATTCAGGATGAACCACTGCTGGTGTTTAGACACGTATCTTCATACAACGGTTCTTATCAGAGTTTCAGGTCCAGCGCTGTGTGTGAAATTCAGCTCTTCACATGCAGTCTGTCTTCAGAGGAAACAACTTAGTTTGGTTTATGGAAAGATTGTGTTTAGGGTTAAAATAACTACCAAACAATCCGAACTTAAGTGCGATAGTTACAAATAATTCAACATTGACTTCTAGTTTTACTCGGGGATCGAACGATGGTTTCCTGGTGTTTCCCGACTTCTCTTTGGGATTTCTGCAGTCTTCATACTTCCTGGTTCATGATTTTGTGGATTACACACAAATTGATTTTGTGGGATATCTATGAATTACAGTGTACTCATCATATATATATATATATATATATATATATATATATAATATATATATATATATATAATATATAAATATATATATTATATATATGTATATATATATAATATATATATATATATACATATATATAATATACATATTTATATAAAGCTACTAACGCTGTATGACAACCTGGAGTTGAGATCGTCCCAGTCTCTCTAATTCTTTTATGATGTTGCATCAGGTGTGTTTCGTGTCCACAACAACAGCTCAAATCAAATATTCACCCTTTTCCGTAAACGTCTGTGGATGCCACAGCGGCAGTGACCGCTCCCACGATGGCGCCCAGGACGCCGGGCATGCCGTGCAGGTTGTGAACCCCGCAGGTGTCTTGGATCTTCAGCTTGTCCTCCAGGATGGGCTGAAAGAAGAAAGAGATGGGGGGTTTGTTTCTGGAGGAGAACACCACAGAAGAAAATGTTGTTGTGTATTAATTTTGTTTGTTTGCACGATGCGGCCTTATGGTGCTCTGCCTCTAATTGCTCAGTATCGTGTCTTAATCATAAGCTTCTGCACGATCCTTACTGAGAGGTACTTGAAGCCCAGAACAGAGATGATGCCGGCCAAGAAACCGACGATCATGGAGCCGTACGGCGTCAGCATCATTTCACCAGCTGTTCCTGCTGCGACTCCACCGGCCAGGGCGGCGTTCTGGATGTGGACCTAAAGATTAGAAAAAGATGTTTTTAATACATTAAAATGCACATTAATCCTGAAGCACACTGCACCTGAAACTACTACATTATATTGAGGTACTACATACAATTCATGGGAAGTTTGTGACATAGCAACTTGGATTTTCAGCCTCAATATATTTATTTGAGAAATAAATATGTACAAAACGTAGACTTGAACAGTTTAACTGAATCAAAAGTTTGAATAAGGACAAACATTGGGATTTAAATTGGTCTCAGGGCGGGGAACTATTAAGAAATGAAGGTCATGAGTCATGAACACAGCCTTTCCTGACAACAGCCCTGGTTATGTGCTGAATCATCCAGCTGCTTGGAATTAGCTATTTAGCAGTTTGTTGATCATACAACACACAATGTGTGACTGGGAGTCGGGATCGACATTCAGGGAAATCTGTACCCACAATTGCCCAACTGAAGACCTCATAACATCTCAGGGAAAATCACAGACTGAATATAAGAAGTCATCAGCTTGGTTTTTTGAAACCAGTGAACAGAAGTGACCATATCTGGACTGAGGAGGAGTGACGTAGAGACGGCGCATACGTCTCTGGTAGAGACCTGTCAATCACTGTGTAGCCCCGCCCTAAAGCATCCCCTGCTTTATGGTCTGTTTGACTCTAAATGGACCAGAATGTACTAAATGAACATCATGCTGTATTGAAGAAGACTTGAAACTAGAGATTGAGACCATAAACTCATGTTTACAATGTTTACTGAGGTAATAAATCAAGAGAGAAGTAGAGTCATTTTCTCATAGACTTCTATACAACCAGAGGAGTCGCCCCCTGGTGGACAGCAGTAGCATTGCATCGATAATCACGTAAAAGATTACGTCTATTTAACGAATCTGTGACTTGCTTACGGATTGAGATTCATGCCAATGCTTTAGAGACAAACTAGGTGACTGACCCTGGTGGTTTAAAGCTCTGCAGTAACGCAGTAAGAAGACAAGAGCGCGCATGCAGAAGACACAGACCAATCAGATCAGTCTGGACTTTTTCGGGAGGGGCTCTTAAAGAGATAGGCCCTTAAAACGCAGCGTTTCAGACAGACGATGAATACAGGTATTTTCAGACAGACAGTATTAGAAAAATCAAATGTTTTTTTTAACAGTAAAGCATGCAAACATGTTCTAGTGGAAACCCAAAATACAAATATGAACCCTTAAATGTGCCACAATCTCAGCTAATCTGAGAACTTCCGTATGTTTCAGATGCTTTTATGTCCAAATACGTGATTGTTTTCTCAAATTAAATCACTTTCTTTCTCTACGAAATATAATCTATGTGCTTGCAATGAATTGTTTTCTGCGCTTACAATGTCCCATCGCGCAATCAGAAGCACCACGCCACCACATCTTTCTAGGTCTTCTATATTTATTAAATAACATCTGACTTGCACAATACTATATTACTAAATTATGAAAATGTAAACTGTAACTCTGCAAAAGTGAGAAAAAACAAAAGGATCTGCTCGTCTGTAGACGAAGCAGCTTAAAGGGATGAGACTTTGTGACAAAGAGTCTGTAACGTGTTGCGGCCACATGACAGCAAACAGCTGGAACACATCAGAGACTGATGAGCGTTTCTCTACTATCAACAGACTATACCGTCTCCTTTTGTCATGAGTTACCGCTCTGACTCTCTCAGGGTTTGATCACTATCAGCACAGGAATGTTTCATCTTGATATCGGGATGATGAACTGTTGACAGGTGAGCATGACAGCGATAATGCACAGTTTGAACCTCCATGTGACTTAGCCACAGCTAACATTTGTTTTTTGGGGGGGGAGGGGTTCATGTCTTCATGTCTTCAGGCGACAAACACATCAGCTTTTTATCTTTTGAGTAACTCTGTCACGAGTTTTAGCTCTGATAAGATCCACCCTGCTGACAGGAATTCAAGTTCTAGTTCTTTTTGCATTCTTGTCTTTACTTCAGCTCTTTGGTTGTTTGCTGGTCTCATTTTAACCTGATTGATTGTGAGCTGGAAGCAGTCACATTCTACTTCACCAGCTGAGAATCACTCTCTGGAGGAGCCTGTTGCCTCAGTTTCATTCCTAAAGTTGGCGATTCCAGTAAATTAGCGATCATTACTTTATTTCCTGATTGAATTTAGTGATGCTAATCCGGTGTGCTCACCATGTCCAGCTTGCCGTCGTGCGCCGTCAGGGCGGACATGCCGTATGTGGCCAGAGTGCAGGCTGCCAGGGAGTAGTAGGTGTTCATGGCCGTGCGGTGCTGGTCGTCTCCGTGAGCTGTGACGGCAGAGTTGAAGCTGGGCCAGAACATCCACAGGTAGATGGTACCTGAGAAGCACAGCGGCATTCAGTTAACAGATGCATTGGGCAAATCAACAAATTCACTCTAACTACAAACAGCATGCATCTTGTTTTCCAGCCTGTGTGAGATCGAATGTCTGGAAGAAAACCAAAAGGATGTCAACAGATCTAATATTGGGAAGTCTCCATCTGTCTCTGAGAGGAGCTCGTGCTGCTGTTCAATAAGTTAACTCATGTTTAATATAGAAGTTGTGATGATGAAGTCAGGAATCTATTGAGGAAAATCCCAGGTGAAGGGGAGGAGATACTACTGTTTGTATTCGCAAGAAAACACCAACACATCTTAAGTCAAGTGTGAGAGCTAAACTTTGTGTTTCGAGGCCTAAACAAGTCATTAGGCGCACTTCACCAGATGTAATGACATTTTACATTGTTACAATAAATCTACAGCAATAATAAATGCTTTTTACTGACAAACGCACCTTTACCTCCAAAGTACATGTGTTGTTCCTGCACACTTTCTGACAACATTATTTAGAATCTTTGGAATTGGGGAAATCATGAAAAGCCTGTTTCACACCAAGCACAAATTTATTTCCACAAAAAAAAGTAATTTTTACAAATTTACAAAATCTACAAACACTGGTTTTGTGGTTCATGCTTGCACACCTCTGTGGAACATTTGTACGGGGGGAGAAGTATTCGGACGGACCTCGATTTCAGCAGATTTCCACCTGCGAAAGTATGTGTTTGACCAGTGATGAAGTCCTTTGTTTCAACTGATGTCATACAAAATATTGCTGTCATTATTTACAGAGCAATGGACCTTCGGAACAATAGGAGCTTGTTTTGGGGATATTTTTTGGACTATTGGTGTTTCGGAATAATGTGCCTTCAGAAAATTGGGAAGCCTCCATCTCAACACCCAATCATGTAACAATATAACTTCTTCAACCACCAAGTTAAGGACGATATATGGCTTGAGTTCTTCCTAGCAACTGGGAGGCGAGGGCGATGGTAACGTAGCTGATATACTTGCAAATGTTGTATGTTGGTCAAGGAAAGGGGCAAGCCACAAAAGATAACATTAGCTTTAGCATCAGACTTTGGGTCCGATTTAATAATGTATTGAGTACTTAACGATTGACATTCTTTGTTGGGAGGGTATTTTTAATGTGTGGAGTGGACACGGGCTCTATTTAGAAGGAATGGGCTTCATTGACCAAAATGAAACAGAAATGTGGATAATTCACACTGGACCCGATGGTTTTCGTACAGAAAATCTGCATGCTAATTTTTCTGGATTCCCGGACGGCTTTTTCGCAACACTGGTGACAAACGGCTTTAAATCCTTAATCAAAAAGGCTCAGGATCAATGTCGAGCCAAAGTCCTTTAATGATTTTGTTTTCATCCGATTCCTGAGGCCAGTCAGGGTATCAATCTGTGTGGCAAAATATTGCAAATTTTCCAAAATTTCTATAACTGAAATTTAGAGCAAATTCACACTAAATCTATGTATCTAAGTATTGCTGCACTGATCTGAATGGGTCTGAAGGTTTGAGTTCATCACACCTATGACCACACCTGACAACACCCATCAATGATCGTATGCAACGGTGGGACAGAGCACGAATGAACCACTAGACGGCGGCACAAGAATTTCGTAAACGATAAAAGTCCATCTTTGACAGATGTTTACCGATCATAGCAAACAGGTCAGAATGGTAGACGGAGCTGTTCCTGTGCTTGCTCTTATTCAGGTTGGGCCGGTACAGGACCCGGGTCACCATAAGGCCGAAGTAGGCTCCAAACGTGTGGATGGTCATGGAGCCGCCTGCATCTTTAGCCTGCAACAAAGTTAGCCACAATATGGTTTATAAAATTCAATATGTTTGACAGCGATATGATATTTTTCTTATCTTTGGTGCTAATCAGTCCTTGCTGTGTTGTTTTGCTCTGCAGATCACACAACAGAGAATTACTTCTAGAGTATATCTGTTTTTTTGTAGCTTACCCCAAGAGCGGACAGCAGGACGAACTCATTGACAGCAAACAGCGTGACCTCGAAAATCGCCATGATCAGCAGCTGGACAGGGCTGGTTTTACCCAAAACGGCTCCAAATGAGATGAGCACAGCGCCCGTGCAGAAATCAGCATTGATCATGCTGAAAGAAACAGAGTTTGATAGAAAACATGACATATCGTGTGCAGGGCATAGACAAAAAAGAAACATTTATTGTGTGTCAGAGATGTTTCACTCTGTCTGTATTCTTCTCTTTCATGCACCTTGTCCAACATATTGTGTCAGTGGTTTTTGTGTGTTCACACATGTGCAATATGGTTTTCACACATACCTCTCCACTCCGATGTGGATCTTGCCTCCATGCATACCGTGGAAGAAGCCCTGCATGAGCGTGGCCCATTGCAGGGAGAAGGCTGCGATCAGGAAGTTGAAGCCCACGCTGCTGAAGCCGTAGCGCTGCAAGAAGGTCATGAGGAAGCCGAAACCGATGAAGATCATCACATGCACATCCTGGAAACCTAAACAATGTAGAAAAACACACTGGCTCAGATTATGGAGATAGATTTTTTTGTTTATTCTATGTGATGGAGAGGCAACATGGACCCAGAAGGCAAGTGGAGTTCCACAAGGCTCAGTGCTGGGCCCACTACTTTGAAGTACTGCTTCCATTCAACTTTTGTAGTTTTCCCCTCCTTAGAAACATACAAGCAAAGTATTGATTGTCTTTGCAGATGACACTCACCTCTCTATAGGTGACCAGTGTAATGGAACATTTCTACTTAGTATATATTTCTACTTCGTATATTGTGTAAATGCTTAAGTGCTTGTACTTTAGCTCTGAACTCAGTACACCTTCATCCTCTGTGTTAACATACGTGCTCAAATGTATCTTGCTGTTTGGGTAGTGGAAATATATTGTTATCATAGTTTATATTCTTATGTGTATTTTATATTCTTATAAAATACAACTGTTTTATAACTTGTTGTGAATCAAACTATCATAAGCTTGCATCATGTAACTTGTGATCCATGCAGCTGACTGCCTGCACACATATCCTCGTCTTCTTCGTGTTGGATAACAAGTACCTATTGTATATTCACATGTTCTACGCCTTAAGGATAAAACGTATATATCTGTGTGTCTGTTGTTACACAGATAAAGCACTTCTTATACTTCTTTAACTGCGCGGCCTGCATGGCCTGAAACACAATGTTCCAGTACACAGGCCCACCCCCCCGCCCCACCCTTGATCACTCTCTTCATACGAATTTTAATCTGTAGTGCACACTTCTACGGAGTCAGAGTGACTCCGTGTATCTGTGCCTCTTCTCTGGCCAGAGAATAAATACTTTTCAAAGACAAGTTCTGTTTGACAATATTCTTTATTTCAACTTAAAAAGACTCAACAGCGGATAAAATCATTTTCCACCACACCAGCAACTAATGGCATCTGAATGACACGACAATTTGTAAGTCATTTGGCGGGCAATAACAACTACTTGCTTTTTGCATGTATAAACTACGCTCAGAGCAACTGACGAAGTATAAAAATTGGGAAGGGTGGGGTCAAACAAACACAGGACTTTCAACCAAGACCCTTGTTCGACCCTTGTTCGTGTCCTGAAGTTATTTTGAAGTTATGTTAATGATGTTTGTGACGTGTTTTCTCTACTTATATTACGTTGTAAAGTTTTACTTAGTTTACATACTTATTTTATAAGCCCAACCAGAATGTTTCTCCTAAACGTAACTACTGGTTTAGTTTCCTAAACATAGCTCTGGTCGTTTTACGTAAACAGCGTTCTATTATTGTGACAAGCGGATATGTCCTGAATGTTGTGTTATTTACACGCCTTCCCATGAGATCAGGTTGTTATGACAGGAGATCTCAAGTTAATCTATTGCCTTTGGGGGTTATAATTGACTCCAATTATAACAATTATTTTCACTATTGATTGTCCTCACAATTGTTTTCTTGATTAATTGATTATGATATCTATGTCAAGAATCTATTTTTGTGTAGACCAAAGGGAGCTCTTAAAAACTGCATTTTTTGTACAACCAACAGTTCAAAGCCCAAATATATTCAGTTTACATTGATATAAAACTGAGTAAAGCAGCTAATCATCTCGTTTGAGAATCTGGAATTGACTCTGATGTAACTTTTTATTTCCCTTTGAGAAATGTAACATTCGGAAAAAAATCGATCGAAGTCTATTTACAATTGAAACCAATTATTATTTTTTATAAAAAACTTCTTGTCAACTACCTTCCTCTGTTCTGATTTTAAACTGAAAGATGATTAAAAGATTAATATTAAAGGTGAAAAATAAATGTTCACCAACTTGTTCGGCATTTCCAATGAAAAGCCTTTCGGCAGAGAGCCGATAGCAGTTCAGTGAGGATACGAGTCATTTAGATCAACCTCGTGTTATCTGCTCCTCAAAAGCCTCCATCAACAAAAAACACCTGATCAACAACTGAGTCACTTGAGGGCTTTGTCATTGAAAACAGCGTCGCTCTGTGAATGAGCACAGTTACATAAGCCTTGGTCAATGGGGACTTCAGGTCCGGCTGTGACACTGACCCGCACATCTTCCATTTGGGTATTCATGTTTAGAAACTCTTGACTGTAAAGTTACAGGATTATATTGACAAAGTATTGCTGGTCTGCTGTGTAAAAGGAAGGATAATGATCTGCTCTCTAACTCACTTATTTCTCCCAAACTACCGCACAGCCAGTATTGGACAGCCGGATGTGCTGCCAGTGTCCCCGTTGGCATTTTGGCCCAGATACACACACCGATATCCAGGAGGACACCGTACAATCAGAGCAGTGACTCAGGCTCTGCCGGGCACAAGTTGGTTCGATCTGTTGAAGCTCAACTTTTATTTTTTGTTAAATTTGACCATTTCTGAGGCCAAGAATCTCCACAAAATGAGGGATTGATGTTTTCCCTCAATTATCTCATGCCTGCGGGGTAAAAAAAAAAGTTCTTGACCCTCCTGAGTCCAGATTCACTTTTTGAATATTCCTTTCTGCTGACTTTCAATGCATGCATTTATGTCTTTGTTTAGCAACTTTTAAACTGTCCTTACCCCCTCATGCATGGTAACCCTCCTTCAAGTTGGACGTTTTCATTTAAATAAGTATAAAACTACCAGGAACCCAAAATAAAGAGTAACACAAATGCATAAATCTTTAGTGATAATTACTCTTAACATTATTATAGAACAGTTCTGGTTAGGAAAATATTGTTTTGCAGTATGTACACACAAATGTAGAATGCAGATGAATGTCTTTTTTATATCTAAAGTGATTTTATACCTACTTATTGTGGAGTTTTTTCTAACCCTAACCCAAAATAACTGTAAATATTAATAATTCTTTTCAACATTAATGAAGCTTTGTGAGAACCCCACATCAACACTTTCAGCTCAGCTTGTCTCTTTAAATCTCTATTTGATTTATAAATTTAGGTTACTATAAATAACATGTGTTCTCCTGTGAATTAGGATCATTGAGAACATCTTGGGACACTAAAACTCTCCATCAAATCTGTCCAGAAGATGTCTTAGTTGGGTCTCTTTAAAGGGATAGTTCCCCTATATAACAAAAAAAACAAAACTTCAGAGTTTAGGGTTTTAAAAAGTCAGCAAACAGAACTTAGTGATTTGGGGTAAACTGACTGAAATAAAATGTAACATAAGACTTGAAACTGCACTTAAATTACATCACTGTAATCCAGGACAAAAATATGTTTCCCTCCAAACGTAATTGAGGATGCAGTTTAGTTGTAAGGGAATGTCATGTTATGGAGAACCCGTATGAGGGAGACATATTTTATCAGTTGACACACCATCCTTATCTCACAGGAACCTGTAGGACAGACAATACGTTGACTATATGACTGCCGACACAGCGGATTTACACACTGCCCTTCAGATAACCTGCAGATTGTGAACTCGTCTGTTTATTGTACCGTTGTTTTCGAGGCGTGCGGTGAGGATGGAGGATGGAGGTTGCGTAAACACAGCACTGAAACATGAAAGTCAACGGCTGTTTCAGCTCCCGTGACAGCGAAGGTGTCGGGTTAAACATTGTCTGAAGCCATTAAATCTAATGGACCTTAAACTCTGGTCTTGTTTTTCTAACCTCAGACACTCTGTTACCTTCTCTGTGGTTTGAAATAGACAACTGAACTGTCGGTTCAACCAAACTCCAGTATGTGGTCATTCCAGTATAATGACGTCAGGGGTTAAAGCAGAACGTATCATAACATCTGAAGAAACGGGCTCGGTTGGATAGTTGGGTGAGTAAAATGTTGGACTGTGACACAAGCGACTGAGGGTCACATCCTGTCTACAGTACAGTCATTTAGCAGACGCTTCTATCCAAAGCGACTTACAATTCAGAGTCTATCACATTTTTACACCATAGGCACAGCTACGGGAGCAATTTTGGGGTTAAGTGTCTTGCTCAAGGACACATCGACATGCGACTAGCGGAGCCGGAGCCGGGGTTCCAACCGCCGACCCTCTGATTGAAAGACGGCCCTGCTATCCACTTAGCCACAATCACCCCCAAAAGGTCAAAAAGTCAAAAGTCAAGTTTTGATAGAGAGCAGCACCCTCTGAAATGGGGGATAATTTGCTTGAGGGCACTTCGGCAGTTTGCATAACAAACCAAGAGGCTGCTAATCACCTTCTTTAGATGCCACAACCTGTTTAGGTGTTTCAGTATAAGTTGTGTCTCTGTAGCAATGTCAGAAAATATATTTATATCCATCTTTGCGCTTAGTGATTAGATTAGACCACTTTTAGATTTGACTACTTTCTCTCTTCTGTTATTGCACTTTTATGCAATATTTACAAAAATGAATTATTAAATACATCATCCACTTTGTCAGACTGTAAAAATGTTTGTTATAATTATATTTTGTGAATGATTTAAACAATTATGTGCATTTTTTATTGATCCACTTAATCCCCAGTAATGTCTTTCTATTTCAACTACTGATTTTGAACTTTGCACTGGAAAGAAATCCACTGGCTGAAAACATGAATACTGAAAACGGTCAAATTTAAACATAAAATCTTGCACCAAATATTAGTTTGAGCCAGTCCTGATGTTTCTGTGTTTGTGAAGAGTTCAGTGACTGACAGGAAGATAACGTTATAGTTAAAGGTTGCAGGTTGGAGATTCAAACAATGTGAGAAACGCCCAGATTAACTTCCGACAGTGTGTGACAAGTTAGGACACGCCCACCAGCCCTCAGTAGTTGATTTCTTAAGGTGGAACTTTGAGTTAATGAGTGAATGAGTGGCTAGAACGAAATATTAAGTTTGTGTCACAACTGCAAACGGAAGAAACAGAGAAAAGTGAAAGAAAGTGGTTGTTTGCAAACATTAATTAAAGATATTTTAGATATTTAAGATTATAAGATCATTATTTTAAAAGCACAGTTTAAAAAACTGTGCTTTTGGATAATTATCACAGATTTTTAAAGAACGGGGTTATATGTTGTCCCCAAAACGTTTTTCTGACATTTAAAGTTGAAAATCAAATGCAAATTTGTACAACCAATGACACATTCACACTACACTGCTATGTAGTCATTTTAGGCATCATGCCAAAGATTAGGGTTAAAAAGACAACAGAAAAACAGCTTGAAACTGTGTGTGCAGTAAGAGTCGATGGATATAAAATGTGTTTTATGGAAGCAGTAATGAGCATCTAATCAACGCCTTGTGTTTTCCCTCCCTTCTTTTTCCTACACCATCAATCCATATAAATCAGGACATTAACGATCAATGGATCTGCCTCTATGGGACGCAGCGGACTGGAAGACATCTCTATGAAAGGTTCGCTCAGAAAGAATGGGACCCGTCCAATTAGGGGAAACCAGAGGAGCTCAGCAGCCCCTCATCTCTTCACACAGAATAACGACGAGTTAACAATAACTATCCTGAAAGTGCAAATGAGCCGGAGTGGCATGCGAGCGTGGCATACTTACAGATTTCTAAAAATCACTGAGGGAGCATGTAAGAGAGGACAGCATGTCAGTGTTAGAGAGGCTGGTTTAGCATTATATGAAAGACAAAAACATGAAAGAATCGCATGATGAGGATTTTAGTCAGTGTCTTTTCTTTGATAAAAAATAGTTTGTAAAACAAAGGACAGAGTGATAGATTAGTATTGGACTCATCTGTGTAATGTCATAAACAACATCTGCAACATGTTTGTCAAATTAAAGCATCCACTCACATCAAGTCTGCAATGTTACTGTACAAGTCATCTTCAAACTGATACTCTTGAGAAACCTTTCATCTAAAGGATATTACTTAAATTCAGACACAGACTGGGAACCAAAAGCATCCTGAGCCTCACTGTGACCTCTGACCTTGAACCTCCACACATCCACGGGACACTCACTTGGGTAACGGTAGTAGAAGTCGTTGTCATAATCAGATTGGTTCATGTTGTGCCATTCCTTGGCGTCTGTGTCGTGGTCATACTGCACCAGAACACCGAAGAGGATGATGAGGATGATCTGCAGGATGAAGCAGACGATCGGCAGCTTCAGTCGCATGTTGGTTGCCGCATCTGTCATGTTTTTCTCTAACTGAGGGGATGAGAGGGGGCTTTAAAGATCCAGCACAAAAAAGTTTTGTCTCTCTCACACACACGCCGGAGAGTCCTCAGTGCAGAGCCAGGAGGCTGGTGTATGTGTGTGTGTGGTGTGTGTGTGTGTGAGAGAGGGTGAAAGAAGAAGAAGAAGAAGAACAAGAAGAAGAAGAAGAACAAGAAGAAGCTCACAGACAGACACCAGAGCTGGTTTTACATGTGTTTTTACTGAGTCACACCTACCGGACCTGCCTCCCACATGAATAATGCAGCCTCACTTTAAGCCCCGCCCCTTTGCGACTGTACTTTTTAAGGTGGACTTTAGAAATCAGAAATAACCAATAATTCATAACTATGTGATAGGAACTCTCTAGTGATAATATGTGTTGGAGTTTTCACTAACTGCACGACTACTTTGAGGTCGACTAGTCTTGCATAATTTGATTTTAGCATCAGGTGTAAGCCACTTTGATCTTCTCTGCATAGTTCCTCTATTGATCTCTGTTTGGCAGCAGTCATTCAGTCAATCAAACAACATTGTCACAGCTGCATTGCACAGCTGCATCACATGTTTAAAAGTAAATGCAAAAGCATTGATGTGTCTGAGACGACACGGAAACTGCTGGTTCACTAACAGTTTTTGTTGGGAAAATCTTTTTTGAAAGATTGCAAGGACACATTTTAAATGCTATGAACGTAGATAACAAATTGTTTTTCTTTAGTACAAAAAGAAACACTACAGAGTCAAAGTCCTGCCATCATCTTTAGACTGAAGATGTGGGTTGCAGAACCTCTTGCTTTTTATATTACTGCGCCCATGCTAACAGGTCCATCTGCATGTCAGCTTCAACTCTTGTAGAGATTCGAGGTCTCGCCTAGTTTTCTCGCGCGATTCACATCAGAATCAGACAGTGAGAATGTAGACCCTGCTGCCGTAAAAGTGGAGGTTTTGGAACGGGACTCTGGGTCACAACAGAGAAAGGAAGCGGGTGTGGCCTCTAATGGTTGCGAACAGACGGGATTATAGAGACTGTGATTAGACATGAAAGGAGGTCGGGGTTATGCTTCACTCCTCTTCTTCCTGCTCTAGAGTTTGACAACAGATGTCGTTCACAAATGTATCGCCGTCCTCCATCAGCGGGGACGGAGCCTTTTTTCTTCAGAAAGGTGACGGACCTGGTAGCAATTTTGTTATGATTTTGGGGAATTTAAACCTTCAATACTTGAGAGCACAGGCGTCAAAGAGAAGACATAAACTCTGCGGTGACAGAAAAGTCTGCTCAGCATGCTGTCTGACCGGCCACCTGTCAACAAGTCAGTCGGACTTCCAACTGTAGCCTTTGTGTCCAGTTATTGACTCAACCTGCCTCATTATGACACCTGACAAACTCTGAGCATATATGTTATTATTAAGGGATGAATCTTTATGTCCTGAATGAACCTGAGTTTATCTGAATGTGTAGCCTGTCCTCTCGGTGCTCCTAAATGAGAAACATTTCAATATTATTTTAATAGCGTTCATTTGTTCCAAATCAACTTTTTTGTACATTAATTATGTCGTAACGTTGATTTATGATGTAATAAAAGAAACTATTACGACATCATCTTCGTTTCAAATAATGAAATCACAGATTACACAGCTGTACTCTTGGCTTGGACCAGAAGCATGTGTCTACACATCCCATACTGTGCAGAGACTGAATCATGCAGCTGTAGTCATATCTTTGGAGGAAAACCCGTTAGATTGTGGAACATATTTGAATCGATAACTTACAGGAACCTAAACCTTCAAGCCATAGAGAACCGACAAGTCTCATCTGGTCTTTTCTCCTGAGCGTCTCTCGTTCCTCATCACTTCATCTCAACAGTTACAGGTTTCACCTTAAATCAACGAGCCGACCTGAGGTTCACACTGAGCCACTCAGCCTATCACTGCTGCTCAAACCACACCTCAGGTCATGTGCATGTGCGGTCTCGCAGGGAAAAAGCTGAGGGGCAACCGATCAAGACAATGACCTCTGACCTCTCAGTTCATCGTGTATCAGTGCGGCGATAGTGAGTGTAGACAAGTTATACCCGAACCGAATACAGAAAGATAAAACATTGAGATGGGAAACCATACGGAGACACATATGCTGGCTCCTTTTTCTCCTTTTTCTCCTGCAGCTTTATAAGAAATGTTTAGAAAGGACCACATGACTCTTGCCAAGAGTTGCTGTCATTCCAGACACGAGGAGTCTCGTGCTAGTAAAAACACAAAGCGTCCCTGTCATTGAGATATTCACGTCAGATCGTAGATAGCACTTAACAATTCCTCAAATGCTTTAAATTGCACCGTAAGTGCTGCAATACTGTCACTCCTGTGTCTCGTGTTAGTGGTCGGTCAGTTCCACGAAGCGGAAATTTTTTGTAGATTCCAATCTATTTCACCAAGAAAATGTTTTTTAATAATTCTGCTCTTTGTATTTTGCAAAGCGTGGAACTTTATTTTTTGTTAAAGCTGGAGAGAAATCAATCAGATTTTGTGTCCGATATTGTGTGATATTTTGCTTTACTTTGAACAAAAACAGAAAGTATGCAAAATTAAAGGATGGATTCAAATTCAAATTAAATTGTCCGCGTCCAACAACTTCCACTGTTCAATTTTTTACCGGATGAAGCAGCCAACTGACGGTATCACTGAAACAACGTCCAATATCACAGCTGTATAAAAATAATTAGGGAACAGGGACAAGTGTAGTGACTGTGATTATCCAGTGATATAATACAATATAGTTAATTCAATATTCATAGGCACTTCAATACCAAAACACAGCTTCTATGCAGATTTTGTTTCTTGCCACACAGCATCATTGCATCATACTGTTGAGAAACGTCTGCAAGGCAGTTTAATGTAGCTCCACATCTTGAAGCAAACATCAAAGTGCTTCTTGCACATAGACTGTAAGAAGTGGACGTAGTCATCGAGACGTCACCCATTGGTTTGTGGACTGACATTTTGAGGCATCGAGTTCGGCGGTTTTGCTGTCGCCATCTTGGATTACGACCGTTGCCATGTTGTTTTTTTTTGCAAACAGTGAACAGGAAGTGACCATATTTGGACTGAGGAGGAGTGACGTAGAGACACCGTATACGTCTCTGATAGACCTGTCAATCACCGTGTAGCCCCGCCCTAAAGCAT